ACCAGTCTGGGTCTGCTGTTAACTCCCACCAGTCTGGGTCTGCTGTTAACTCCCACCAGTCTGGGTCTGCTGTTAACTCCCACCAGTCTGGGTCTTGATCTTTGTTTGCCACCTACTTGTTGGATGATTTTTGGCAAGTCATTAGCTTCTCTTCACCTTGGTTTTTATCACTTATTAAAATGATAAAATGGGACCAGGAGTTGTAGGGAGTGTAAGGTGCATAATTGGAGTAGCATTATACCTGGCGTGTAATAGGTACACGAACTGGCTCCTTCTTTTTTTTTCTACTGTAGCCTATGGATCTCATTTCTGTAGGTCAGACTTACTTCCAGACTCAAACTTAACTAGGTTTCATATCATCACCTTTTTTCTTCCCATTCCCTGAGAAAGAGATTAGTGAAGTGGGTCCTAGAAAGACAGAGCAGGAAGAAAAATGAGAAGCTGACAACTGGAAAGTTCCAGTACCTGACACACAACAGGTGCTCACCAAACCTTTGGAAGAATAGATGTTAGAAAAGTAACCTCTGAATATTTGAGAGTTGGCTGAACCTGTAGCCTTATTTCCCCTGAATATATCTATCCTGTGACAATATCAACCTTATAAATATCCAGTTAGCCCAAGGCCTTATTTTTAAGTGACTTGTTTTGACTAGGAACTTAGTATAGTGGCTTTTTGGCATTTTGCAATCAAGCCAGCACACAGGTGTGGAAGATGGTTGCTGCCTAGCAAGGATAGGAAAAGAAAATTTTCCCTGGCCACGTTATTCGTATTTAAGTAATGAAGTCAAGGGGGGAGTTACTAAATGCTCCTGGAAATGTGGAAAAGCAGCTTTATGAAAAATGTACCGAGTCAAGTTGGAAATTCAAGTGCCCTTCAAAGGGGGAGTTTGAGTGTCTATCACCTAAATGACAGCAACACAGATACATGCAGAGTGATAACTCACAAACAGAGCCAGATGGGATGAACAGAGATCACGTGGGCTTCTGTGCTTCTGCCCCAGAGAACGACGACACAGTGCCAGGCCAGGTTCTTCTGTCCGGGTTCCTCTAGTCTCAGGGCCCTTTCTGCACAGTGAAGGGGCTTTCACATCTTCAACCAGATCATCTCTGCTTTTTAATTTTATATGTTAGAATTCCAAGCAAGATTTTGTTTTGGGGGGATGGGGGGCGGGGTGGTAAAAAGGATTCCCTTGCTATAAAATAAAGTTTGAAGGCCACAGATATGACCCAGCCTTCTACTGCTGGACAAACATCCCTTTATTTACATATTTGTTTTTAAATATGTACATCCCTGCCTGTTGCTGCAGAAGGGACTGGCAGCAGCTTATGTCCATTTTTTGCTCTCTTCTGAGAGAAGAATCCATGTTACCATGGTTCAGTAACCTTTTTTCTAGAACTTTAATGACCCTGACCTTTTTGGAAGATTTTTATACCTATCCTGTATTCCTCTGGTGATCTAAACTCCTGTGGTACATTAGAGGACAGTTTTTATAGGACAGTCATCTAGAACCTTCCATTCAAACCCCCTCCATCTTTGCGGGAACTAAGTCTTAACCCTTGTGGGCTGTCTCTGTAGGTGAAGTCACCTCCTTCCTTCAACTCCTTTCTTCCCCAGGGCTGCCTGTTTTGTTAGCCTGTGTCTGTCTGACGTTCTTCTCTGAACACTTTCCAAAACCTCCATTACTCTCTGCAGTTTGCAGCCAGCAATTAGACCAGGTTCCCACGAGGCGCCTTGCTGCTGCCGGGTTGAAGATTACCTCACATGCTGATGGGCTTTTCTTCCTGGTAGTGAAGGAGGTGTAACTAGGTAGTGCCAGATACCTGCAGGAGTCTCCTCTCCCTCTCCTCCTTCAGGAAGGTCCCTCTTGTCTCTGTGTTGAAAGGCTTAGGATAAAGCCGTCAACAAAAGGAACTGGACTTGCCTTTGTTCCCTTTTGGGGTATACTATCCAGATATTGGGGTTAGCCTTGGTTTTAGGAAGCAGGGTGACCTAACATTTCAGGTGGTCCTTTTGACTCCCCTGACCCTGCCCTGCAATGGACTAGCATAGCCTCCATTTGAAAAGAGAATGGTGATTGATTGATACACTCAACATTTATTGACCATCTACTGTGTGCCAGGTACTTTGCTAAGTCCTGGGGACACAGTGATGATCCAAACCATCATAGAATCACAGGTCCTTGTGGAGCTCACAAACTGGGACTGGAGACAGATTATCAATCAAATCATCACCAAATATAAAACTGCAACTAGGACAAGTACTAAGAATAGAATCCATAGGAGGGGGATTTGACCTAGGGGGGAAAACTTTCCTGTGGAAATGATGCTCCACCTGGAACTAGAAAGACACACAGCAGCAGGTTAGGCAACAAAGGGAGGGAAAGCAGTCCCTGCAGGGGGACTAGCACATGCAAATGTCCTGTGGCATGAGGGAGCATGGTGAGTGGGAGGGGCAGAAATAAAATCCACATAGTTATAGTCCAAAGGTTGAGGTGAATACAGAAGAAGAAGACACGGAAGGAGACAGATCCTCCCAGGCTATGTAGACCAATGCTGTAGAGATTTTTTTTACCCTAAGAGCAGAGGAAAATGTTTGAGCTGGCTGTTAAGTCCTGTTCTGTACTGTTTGTGTTAAATGGTAACCTCCTTCCACTCACCAGCCCTAGCATCTGCAAAAACCCTTGCCCTTGGTACTTGCTGCTCAACAAAGACTTTAAAAATGGATTTATTGCTGTGTCTGGCACCATGCTAAGCACTAGACATGTAACGGTGACCAGAAAGACAGAGCCCAGGCGCCGTCCCCCATTCTAGTGAAGGAGACAGAGGAATATGTAGGTGATTCCAGCGAAGTGTGATTAGCACTTGGCAAGGGAAAGTAGAGGGGGCTGTGGATTTGCATTTTTCCCCAGTGGATTTCACTCTCACCTCTCCACACCTGCATGTCTTTGGCCCTGCTAGCTACTAGTCACGCCCTTGTTCTTTTCTCTCTCCCCAGTCGCTGCTTTTATTGTCCATTAAATTAATAGATGAAGTGCTAAATGAGTCTTTGAAGAGTTGTTCAGTGGAACTGGCAGTGCTTTGCCAAACATGTCTCCTGGTGTCTCATCTTGGCCGACCCAGTTTTTTGGCCTCCAGTGAGCAGAGACAGTGCTCAGTCACCTCTGTTATCTAGGTCATTAGACAGCACCCACTGTGCAGGCCCTCTTTGAGCATCCGTCCTTCCTGCAGGTGCAAAGTCCCTCGCACAGCCTTCCGGTAGCATTGGGTGACCATGTACATCTGGTTAGAGGTGTTGCTTGGCCAGAGGTCAGGTTTCCTGATCCTAGGGTTGAGTGACCACAGAGGCAGGAGGCGGGTCCCGTGTTTTGCAGGTGACCTCTTCAAAGAATGCTGCCCTCCCAGTGACTGCAAAGCAGTGGGTGGAGGTGACAGTTTCCAGACCTTCTTTCTACCTCCCTCAACGGACAGCTCAAACCCAGAATAAAGCCTATGTTTTAGTGATTTAAAAAACAAAGCAATACAGAACAGGGCACATGAGCTCCCTGGATGAGGCTGGTCAAGAGCATGGGTTCTGGAATCCCAGCTCTGACTGCGTTCTAGCTGTGTGACTTTGGGCTGGTTACTTGGCCTCTCTGAGCCTATAAAATGGGAACAGTAGAGTCTATTTCATGAGATATCTTACAGATAACTAGCAAAGTGCCTGAAAATGTAGTAACTGTTCACGTGATGATAGCAATTAATGTGATTTTAAGATTTCAGCTCCCTTTTTTGGATTGGGGGATAGAAAGGCATTTCTGCATATTTCCAGTTGAGGTTTCCTATCTAATCCCACATTTACTGTATGTATCAATCGGGCTTCTCCAAAGAAGCAGAACCAATAGGAAATAGAACATATATAGAGAGAGTCCCTGGGTGGTACAGACTGTTAATGCACTTGGCTGCTAACCAAAAAGTTGGCAGTTCAATTCTACCCAGAGGTGCCTTGCAATTAAAGCCCTAGTGATCTACTTCTGAAAAATCAGCCATTGAAAACCCTATGGAGCATAGTTCTACTCTGATAGGCATGGGTTCACCACGCGTTGGAATTGACTCAACAGCAACTGGCTGAGCCGGGTTTATATATATAGATATATAGAGATAAATAGATAAGCAGACTCTGATTGACTGATTGATTGATTTTAAGGAATTGGCTCATGTGATTATGGGGCTGTCAGTCCAAATTTTGTAGGGCAGGCTGGTGGACAGGAAATTCAGGAAGGATTCTATGTTACAGTTTTGAGGATCAGTTCCTTCTCTGAAAAGCCTCAGATTTTGCTCTTATGGCTTATAACTAGTTGAATGAGTCCTACCCATGTTATTGAGAATTATAGCCTTTACTTAAAGTCAGCTGACTATATAAATGTTAACCACATCTACAAAATGCCTTCACAGCAACCTCGAGGCTAGTGTTTGACCGAACAACTGGGCAGCATAGCCTACCCCAGTGGACAGATAAAATTATCCGTCACGTTGTAGTAATACCTTGTAGATCAAATAACAGTAGTGCTCTCTCCTCTCCCCCTACTCCAAAAGCTCCTCCTCACATGTGAAGTCTTATTAGTGAAGGGAGAGTTTAGATCTCTACATGAATCACTGGGAGACTTTGAATATTTTTTTTTCTTGAGAATGACTGGTGGTCTTGGCCAGGAAAGAGGACCTCGCCGTCCCTCGCCCCTCCACCTGGGGCTTTAACTCCTGGCTGCAAGTTTTCTGGCATATGCAGCTTTATATTTGAGATGGCACTGTGGCCCAGCCCTGCCTGCAAATAATGACAAGCTCTTCTGTTTCTTTCTCCCCTCCCGTCTTCTCATCCTTGTGTAGGTGAAAATCGCATTGAGGTTCTGGCTGAAGTCTGGGACCACTTCTTCACTGAGACCCTCCCCACCCTGCAGGCAATATTTTATCCAGTTCAGGTCAGTCTCTTGGGGAATGACCTCCTGTGGCCTCAGCAATCTGTCTTATTTCTTGGCCTTTGCAACCAAGGGCCTCCTGGTAAATGGGGGAGAACCTGGTGACTGGGCACTGAGTTGGTTGAAGACCTTGAAGATCTTTTGTGGGCTCCGTGGTTCTATATTTAGCACCTAAGATCAAGCAAAGAAGAGTGCCTGCATAACTAGCAATTTGTAGGCTTCTCTTCCCTGCTTGGTTTTGAATATGCCTTTATATTCTTGGAGTGGTTTATTTTTTTCCCCTTACTTTACAGAAATAGAGAAGATGGGAGACTGTGAGACTGTTTTCTTTTCTTTCTTTCTTCCTTTTTTTTTTTCTTTTTGAAGCACAATTTTTAAGCAAGTTTCCCTTTTCTCCCAAATCGTGTCCTCCAGAAGGGATCCTTGAAGATGTAAAGCCACATGATGTAGTAGGAAGAGCACTACACTAGGAATTGGTAGGCTTGAGTTCAAGAGCGTGTGTTTGGGCAAAATTGTTTAACTTCTCTGGGTATAGTTCTATTTCATCCCCTATAAAGTGAGGGATTTAGAGGAAAAGACCAACGACGTCTCTTTAGGGCTCAGTATTCTTATTATGTAACCTCAGCTCATTCTACCTCAGCCCTTTTTTTTTTCTTTTAATTTCCTTCCACCCTTCTGCAGAGGCAAATATTAGGGCTGATCATTGCCAGGTCAGAATAGCCACCCCCTAAGGGAGGTTGGACCAATCGCTAAAAAGGACATCATATTTGGTAAAGTAAAAAGTCAGTGGAAACGAGGGAAACCCTCAAGGAGATGGATTGACAGAATAGCAGCAACAGTGGACTCAAACATAGCAACGATCATGAGGGTGGCGCAGGACCAGGCAACATTTTATTCCGTTACACAGAAGGTCACCGCATGTCGGAGCTGGCTCTGTGGCAGCTAACAACAACAAAAGGAGATTGAAGAGTCCCTGGGTGGTGCAGATGGTTAATGCGCTCCACTGCCAACTGAAAGGTTGAAGCTTTGGGTCTACCCAGAGGTGCGTCAGAAGAAAGGCCTGGCAATCTACTTCCGAAAAATTAGCCTTTGAAAACCTTAGGGAGCCCAGTTCTACTCTTGATACATACGGGGTCGCCATGAGTTGGGTCAACTCGACAGCAGTTGGTTTTAAGGGAGGTTGAATAATAGACACTCTGTTCCAGAATATATGGCTGTCGCACACACACTCGCTCTGCAGCGTGCTCACTGTTCTGCTACTCCCACTAGGGTCAGAGCTTCGTATCTAGAAGGACTTTGTTAAAGTGCGGTCTTGGGAAGCAAAACAGTAACACAGCAATTAGTGACGGCAGGAAATTACCTTACCCCATAGGGATGGGCAGATGTACTTTGTTTGGTCTGAATAGTGTTGGAAAGGAATTTGGAATTCCATTAAATACATGTCAGATATTTAAAATTTGGGAGGTTGTACCTAAAGATCCCATTTCGTGTTTCAGACCTGCCCCTGATATTTCTAATACGAGAGTACAGACAGAAGCTGCTGGCCTGCAGCCCACTCCTCTGTCATCCCAGTTCCATCCTGCACCACCATGAGAGTCTGCTTATGTGGACAGTCTAACCCCTGTGTCCACAAACCTTCCTCTTACCCGCGATAGTTGCCCCTCAGCCAGCGCTGGGTCGTCTCTTAGGAGGATAGACCTGGGGGCTAGGGTTGCCAGAGTTAGCAAATAAAAATACAAGACGCCTACTTAGATTTGAATTTTAGAGAAACAACAATTAATACAATAGTTGGGACATATTTATACTAAAAATTTATTCAAATTTAACTGGGTGGTCTATATTTTAACTAAATAGAGGTGGGCAGGCCTGGGTCTTCTCTTAGGGCCATTTGGGCAGGGAATTCCAAGGTCCAGGTACCCAGAATAGGTGTAGAATGGGGAGTGCAGGATCTGAGTGGGCATGTCTCCCGAATATCAGAGGGGGCCAAGAGCGACCCTCTAAAACTCAGAGGTAGGGAGCAGCCCAGTTGTGTAGGTCTAAGGATGGTTACTGTCTCGCTTCTTTTGAAAAGTTATAAGATCTAGCAATAGTTGATGGAAACCCTCTACCCTGACGCTACCCCCGTCCCCTGCTTGAACTGTGCTTCTTTGCTGTAGTTTGTTACTTCCTCCTGGCTGGCTTCTCCCTTTCCCTGACAACCTCTAAGGACATTTGAGTGTGCTACCCATTTTCCACAACCCATCTGTCAGTTTGCTGTACTGCTGTGGTTTGCATGTTGCTGTGATGCTGGAAGCTATGCCACCAGTATTTCAAATACCAACAGGGTCACCCATGGTAGACACGTTTCAGCGGAGCTTCCAGACTAAGACTAGGAAGAAAGGCCTGGTGATCTACTTCCAAAACTCAGCCAATGGAAATTCTGTGGATCACAAGAGAACATTGTCTGATACAGTGCTGGAAGATGAGCCCTCTAGGTTGGAAAGCACTCAAAATAACACGGTGGCCCCAACAATGGACTTAGTATACCAACAACTGTGAAGATGGTGAGGACCGGGCAATGTTTCGTTGTGTTGTACATGGGGTCACCATGAATTGGAGCCAACTTGAGAGCAACTAACAATAACAATACCCCTGTTTTATACAGTTAGCTGAGACTGGGCACGGGTGAGATAAATTCATATTGTGAATAGGGACTATTGAGAAGAGGTGGGGATGATGCAGAGCTCCTGGGCATCAAGGATTGTTGTGAGCACCCAGAAGGAGACAAACTGCGCTTCCTTCCCTTTTTTGTTCTGACCCCGGCTATCATACTCAGGTTTTTATGGAATGGAATCCTTTTAGCTTTCCCTTTTTATTTGTGCTTAGCCTAGGGAAAGTAGATTACACTTTGAGTAATATAGATATGCATTTCTTCCTGTTTCTAGAGGACTGGGGTTGTGAGGAAACAAGCTGGGTTTTGTTATACTTTTTTTCCGGCCTAAAACAACAGAATTGCTCATTCTGGGTTAGTATGAACTCCTTCTCTGATTCACTCTGGGCTGAAGCGATGACTAGGCCTGGTAACAAGTCAGTATCCTGGTTAAAAATAAAAAACAACCAAACCCATTACCATCGAGTCGGTTCTGACTCATAGCGAGCCAATAGGACAGAGTAGAACTGCCCCCATAGAGTTTCCAAGGAGTGCCTGGTGGATTCAAACTGCCAACCTTTTGGTTAGCAGCTGTAGCACTTAACGACTACGCTACCAGAGTTTCCATGTCCCGGTTAATGGCCCCAAATAATCTTCTCAGATAGAAACCATTAACTTGTTTATACGGCAGGCTGGTGTAAACTGGGTACCCCACACCCTCCCATAATACTACTTCCTGCCAGGATGGGAGAGCAGATTGTGGACTTTATGACTTTGAGGATCAGCAAGGGGTTCTCAAGATAAAGCCCTGTGCCTCGGTGGGATTAATGATGCATGATGTTGGAGCCAGTTCTTATGCAAATACTATGCTATGTTCCTGTCCTGGGCCCAAGTCAGCTTGCCTTCAAACCCAGTAGGCCGGGCACTGGTTCAACATGCCTCTCTGGTTACTTATAAATCTAGGCTTTTCTTGTGAGCGTGTAGTATTTAAGGTTGAGCTTGGAAGCTCCCAAGGCAAAATCTTTCATCTTCTCCAGGGCGAATACGATCACTAACCATGCCTTGTCTATATCCAAATGACTGCTGGTATTTCAGGTGAAGGGGTGATGGTGGCAGAACAGCCTGGGGGAGAAGCTGGGGATGGGACCTATCGCCCAAGAAGAACAGAGTTGTCATCTCTATGAGACCTAATGGTCAACAATTACTTTACAGGAAAGATGAGAAGGTAAGGGGGCAGGAAGACTAGGTTACTGGAAATGGAACAATCAAAATGTAAATAATGAGAATGTTGATACATTGTGAAGAATGTAACCAATGTCACTGAATGATTTGCATAGAAATTGTTGAATGGAAACCTATTTTGCTGTGTAAACTTTCACCAAAAACACAATAAAGTATTATTTAAAAAAATTAAAAAGAACAGAGTGGTTCAGAGCATGAGCCTTAAAAGTTAGACGGACCTGGGTTCAAGCCCTCCCTCCACCACTTGTTGGCAGCTGTCAAGTCAGCCCCAGACTCATGGTGACCCCATGCACAACAGAACAGGACACTGCCTGGTTCCACGCCACCCCCATGCTTGGTTGGAGATCGGACCGTTCTGATCCATAAGATTTTTCATTGGCTGATTTTCAGAAGCAGATCACTAGGCTTTTTATCCTAGTCCATCTTAGCCTGGAAGCACCGCTGAAAACTGTTCAGCATCACAGCCACACCCAAGCTTCCGCTGACAGATGGGTTGTCACTGCTCATGAGATGCATTGGTCAAGAATCAAACCTGAGTCTCCCGCATGGAAGGTGAGAATTCTCTCACTGAACCACCAATGCCTCCTTGGTAACCTTGGGAAGGTAACCTTACCTCTCTGAGCCTCAGTTTTCTTCTATAAAATAATAATACCTACTTTACAGGGTTGTTAAGATTAAATAAGGTAATATACAAAAAGCACTTAGTTTAGCACTTGACAATGTTTTTAAAAAAGTTGCTGTCATCATCAGTATTATTATCATTATGATTCTCTGTTCAATAAAAGGGTGTTGAAATCCCAGCTGATGACCCAGTTATTTCAATCTGTTTCTCACATGTTACGGATTAAGCAAATGGATTTGGAATGGGTAGATTTTGAGCGTTCGCCATATGTCTGCTGTAATGGAAGCTTTGAGGCAGCCCCTTGGAGTTGCCTAAGCAGAGGTATGACCTGTATTTTCTTAATCATCCTACTTAGAAAATCATCTGCTCAGTAGGTGTGAAGTAGGCTCTCTCATACCTTGCTGCTAGGAGTATACATTGATGCGACCCTTTGGGAGGACAATATGGCAGGATCTATAAGACTTTTTGGAATCGACCTGACGGCAACAGGTTTGGTTTTAGGTTTTTAAG